CAATTATCTGGAAGCCTGCACTCACAAACAAAAAAATCTCCACACCACAAGCCAGGCAAACACCTGGGTACAAACAGACCCCCCCGATACCTCCAGCTCAAACACACCCCAACCAGGCACCCAGATGAAACCTAGCTTCCTAATAAATGATAGCTGTCCATTTACTCGGAGCCAAGCTGCACTAAAAGCCTCCAACACAGGAAACACAATGCTGCCAGCCAATCAAGAAAAAAAAGCTACAAAACAGACAGAAGATATTAGGAACACCAATCAAGCAGAACACAGCAAACTCCAAGACCAATAAACACAGACCAAGATTCCCAACCAATCAGGATGAAGAAAAACCATCCTGGCAAAGCAGTAGGCTAGCACCAAATTTAAAACAGAAACGGCTGTGAAAGTCTGACTCACAGACGAACACAATACAGAAGCCTGATGATGGCAGATGAGATTCGGCAGATGAGAGCCGAAACGTTGCTACAACTTTAAAAGCACAACTACAATGATGTGGGAAAATACCCGAGCAAAGCTGAATACCATACACACACACACATTTTGGCGAGGTCCCACTCACCATCCTCAGGCTGGTGCTTTCGGCTTCGTGCCAGTGCAAGCAGTATGTGATCGGAGCTGTAGCAGCCTTACCTTGCATCACACAACCCATTACCCAAGCCGTTAAAACATGAGGCTAAAAAGATCACTACAAAAAGATCACTACAAAACAAACGACCCAGGAGATTACAGCACAAGATCCAGGATATCTCCACAACAAAACTCACAAGGCCATCACACAGCCCATTATACCAACATCAACTCCATCAACCAATCAAGAGGCAGCAGCGCAGCCAACCAGCCCAGCGCACTAGCCCCCACCACCAGTATTTATAGAGAGATGGCAGCTCCGATCACACACTGCTTGCAAGAAGCCGAAAGCACCACCCTGAGGATGGCGAGTGGGACCTCGCCGAAACGTCGCCAAGATACTCTTAATCTTACACAAGAAAAGACCCGAACACACCTAGACCTACATACCTGTATCCGTGAAAATCTATGAAAACAAATATTATCTATCTATCTATCTATCTATCTATCTATCTATCTATCTATCTATCTATCATCTATATTTGGATCTTTGGTTATTCGGGTTTTCTCCCGTGTATAATTGGAAGTATTTTGGCGACGTTTCGACGAAATCTCATTCGTCATCTTCAGGCTTGTGTCTTCGGCTTTGTGCTTCTTGGAGTAATGTGAGCTTGCAGCTGTTTTTTCTTTTAACTGCCAGTGGGAGTGCGACTTGACTGGGTTGGGGCTTGGCTGTGTTCTGATTGGCTGGGGGTGTGTTCTTATTGGTTGGGGGCCTGGCTGTGATCTGATTGGTTGGGGGGTTGGCTGTGTTCTGATTGGCTGGGGGTATGTTCTGTTCAGGTGGGGGCAATTTTACGCGGGAGAAAACACGAATAACCAAAGATCCACATACAAATACCCATGAAAACCTCAGAAAACAAATATATTATATTTAACTCCACCATCCTTTACTGATTCAAGGAATTTTGCCAGGATTATTATCTGACAATGCTTCGGAAGATCTATGCACCAGAAATTGAGAGTTAAAATCAGCAGTTCATTGATCCAAATCATAAAATTATGGCTTTAGAAGATTATGAATAATCAGCAGCCATATTGATAGTTATGTCATGTTAACATAATCACCCAACAGAAGACAAATTCTTGATGGAAAGGCGTTTAAAATGTCATATTCTATTGTGCAAAGTAATAATTACAGTCTGTTGCTCCTTCTTGCAACAGTAATTAACTGCTAAAATGAATTGTTTAATCAGTCTGCAGAAGTTGTTTATTCCAATATTGCACTGCCAAAGAGTCTCTCATGAATATGTATAGACAATATTTGCTTTGCTTGCCAGTCTATCTCCAGTCCTCAGTCCTCCAAATCAGACATTTTTAGTACAAGACAAGCAACATTTTGTTAAGGCTGCCTATGCAAAGCATGCTTTAAGCTGCTAGCATTCTGGAACTGGCAGAGAAACACATCTGTTCTTGTAAATCAACACAAGTGCAGCAAAGGAATTTAGAAAGAACTCACGTTACATTTAAACTATCACATTTAAAATGAACAGGAGTTTATTGCAACCCCAGATTATTGGTTCTAGCAATATATTTGCCACTCTAGAGAAATATTATCAATATAAGGAATGTAAAAAGAAGATACTACTCTTTCTCAATAATTCTGAATTATTATCTAGTAATATATTATGATTCTTCTATCTATTCGTGTGGGGCACATCTCACATTTAACAGCAAATATGCTCCTTTTCTATGATGACTATGCATGATTACTGGCTCCCAACAGTGTTCTCAAACCCATTCCTGAAGTAATGATTATATAATTGTAGGGCTACAAGCTATTCATTCCTTTGCTCTCCAATCCACTTAAATTCTGCTTTTCAATGAACTGTTTGCTATAGGCCCTGCAGCTTTAGAAGTCAAGGAAAGGCTTCATTTTATATAACTTAAAGAAGATCCTACTTAGTTCGATAGTGTCAAAAAAAAATCACAAAAAAAAGCAAAATTCAAGCTTTTATGGTTAAAAAGAATTAAAGAACTTGATCAAGACTGATCAGCTTGGGGATAAAATAATAACCAATGAATTAAACATACAGCAGCCTCTTTAAATCAGTGAAATTGATTGATATGAATGGTTGATTTGTATCAACCATTCCCAATGAAATTAATTCTATTTGGAGTTAGAAATCCTCATATTCCAAAGGCAGTGTAGCTGAACGCATTCTGAAGTTGAAGAAAGCTGTATTAGACTGAGAAATCAAGCAGGGCAATGAAACTCTTCATCTTCTATTTAAGGCAAAAACATATTTTGGAACAAACAGAGAAACACCTGCAACTCCTTAAACTAAATGCATCTTTTGTGGGATAGTAGTGAATTTTAAATCCAAAGAGACATGGCCCACTAATATCAAATGATATATATATGCATGCATGCAAAATAGTCCAACTATGGTTTTTTTAAAATCATTTTTATTACTTAGGAGGGCCATGTAGCATAAAATAACATTCCTGTTGTTTATTCATTGGGCCCATGTCAAGAATTGTGCGATTTTCTCTTTTGAAAATACTTCCTGGAGTATATAGGTAGTCTTCATTTAGCAACTACAACTGGGATTGCAAGTTGGTCATTAAGCAAAGAGGTTGCTATGTGAAACGATCTCTGCTTATATTCATACTTCAGCTTTCTTTTGCTTTACAGACCTATGGAGGTTATAAATGTAGTCATAAAATTAGTTTTTCATAACTGTGAATGGTACCTGGTACGATAACTGCAAACAGTCACTAAACAAGGACTACTTACATAGGATGTGGACACCATTCATATAAATTTGAGTCAACTTGATTAGAATGCTTGATTGCATCATAGCAATATCACTTAGACTTATATACCACTTCACAGTGCTTTATAGCTTTCTCTAAGCTGTTACAGAGTCAGCCTCTTGCCCCCAACAATCTACATCCTCATTTTACCAACCTTGGAAAAATGGAAGGCTGAGTCAACCTTGAGCTGGTGAGAATTGAACTGCCAAACTGCAGGCAATCGGCAGTCAGCAGAAGTAATCTGCAATACTGCATTCTAACCATTACACCACCACAGCTCTCAGGTTGTAATATCAAGCACTGTGTCCAATTTGAAAATACCAGATGATATTTCAGGGCAAAAGAATGCATTATTTTCACAAATGAAGGGATTTTTTAAGGGAGTATGTTCTGGGAAAAATCATAATTCAGTGCATGATTGTTTTTAATGTGAAATAAATTTAACAATCTGCATCCAATCTTCTTTTCAGCTGAATACTAAAGAGTAATTCCCAATCCACCTGTCAGTATTTCAAAGGTGATAGTTTACTATTCACAGGTGTGTTGCTGTTTTAGTGGCAAATTATCAAAGGTGACTTATGTTTTGCACCTGCTAACTGAATACTTATATGTTTTTAGTTTCTGAAGTTAATTTTTGCCTTGCTAATATTTTATGTTAAAAAATGCTGGTTGTTGATAGCTGTTGTTCCTTTGGTGAAGTACTATTACTGTTTTAAAACTGTGACTTGTAATATAGCAATTCAATACTCAAAATCCAACCTAAAAGGCAAAAATAATCAACCACGGTCCTCACACTGAAGCCAAGAGCTTTAGTAAAAATGGTCTTGAAGAAGCAAGTAAACACCAAATATACAATTTTTAATTCATCCAAACTCCTTTTTGGATTATAAAGATGCAGGGTTTATTCAGACACCCTGCTTGCTGTGGCATAGATGGCCCACTAACTATTTGTTAAGGACATGAATGCATGATGTTCTTAGTATGACTCTGGACCATCAGGATGGTGCCTTTATCTGCTCCACTTTTGAAGTGCCTTTCCTGTTTCTGCCAGCACAAACTGTGCCAAGTGATCAGTCTGCAGTTGAATCTGGAGTAAGTTTAGAGGAAAATGCTGGCCCAGCTGTGAGATGCAAGCTAAGGCTACTACAGACATGTCCCACCCCGTCCTTGGTTACTTATTGCCAGAATTATTTAATCCTAGTTCTCTCTTATCAGCAAATACTGGTACATCTTCCTGTCTCTTCCCTTTAGGGCTTGATATATGTCCTGAAACCCAGACTACTGAATGTGTGTGTAAAAATAGTGCCAAAAGTGTGGGAGAGTAGACAGATGTGCTATGGTTTGGCTGGCAGAACATCTGAGGTTGAGAGCCAGCAGCCCAGCAGAGAAGCTGCCAGCACCCCCAGAGTCAAAACAGATTGGAATGACCTATACCTTTCACAGATCCAAATACTGTTACATCAAGTCAAACTTGCTGACATTGATTGGCTGGGTTTGAATATCATAGCAAAGCAAAATGGAACTGGTTGGGTATTACAGGTAATTCTTGTTTAATTATCATGTACACCCGCACGCCAATGCACACATGCAAACATTACCTTGGACCCTGGAATCTTTTTCCAAAGCTGCCACATTCGTTGACTCTTCCTGAGTTGCAACTGCACCTTTCAAAAGAGCAGTGCTTTCTACGCTTGAAGAAACTACATCAGGAGCAGGGAAGAGTTTTTCCAGGACTTTCTTCTGGAACACTAAAAAGGTAACAATATAATAAAGAAGTTAAAGTTTTGATAAAGCAAGAAAAAGCTTAAGGCACTACATCTTCCTGTGTCAAAAGCCTTCTTTAAACAAGGAGTAAACATTCTTATTCAGGAGAGCTCACAAGTGGAAAATATAACATAGCAAGACATTAGGACAGCAGTGGTTTCATTCATTCATTCATTCATTCATTCATTCATTCATTCATTCCCACTCTTGTTTTATAAGTAACTCAAGGTGACAAACATACCTAATTCTCCTTCCTCCTCCTATTTCCCCGACAAAAGCCATGGGATGTGGGTTGGGCTGAGAGAGATTGACTGGTCCAAGGTCACCCAGCAGACACTTTCATGCTTAAAATGGAACTACAACACACAGTCTCCTGGTTCTTAGTCTGGTGCCCTAAAACCACACTAACTCTCTGGACTACAGGATGAGGGTGACAGTGGACCTATTACAACTATTACAAAGTATGCACAGAAACGATTTCTCAACCAAACAAAAACCTACACACCTTGGGAAAGAGGATCAGGTCATAAAACAAATTTTTCTAGTTTTCACTTCTTTTACATTTTTTTAAATTAAGGGTGTGGCTCATTTGAACAGAAATTGAACAGAAGGAAAAGCTTAACACCATCCAGATTGTCAGAGGGTTTCCTCCCCAAATGTTTTTCAGTAAATAGATATATATCTAATCCTAGTTTTTTAAGATGCACATGTATGCTGTTATGATTAATAAAATACAAACCCATTTAAACACATAACTCATGACTATTAGCTTTTTGTCACATTATATTTTGTCAATGTAGAACTACTGTCATGTGGGATCTGCCAAATTTCTTCACATATAAAGGGGTCTTTGTGTCCCTTGGGTACTGGTGGAATACAGGATCTCTATTGAATGGAACAGGCCCCAAGACACTTTTCCCTAACCTCCTAGATCTATAGATCCCAGTTTCAGGACACCTGGCGGGCCGCAACTGGGGAAGGCTACTTTACAGGCCATAAAGGTAATGGATCAAGACCAAGAAAGGTCTAGGTTCAAATTCACCTGAGTTACGGAAGTTCATTAGAAGAGGACCAGAGGCCAATCAATCTCTGTCTCTTGGAAAGGAAAAATTGGAAGAGGGAGAACTACGTATGTCACTTGAAGCTCTTGGAAGAAATGCAATCTAGCATACTTTACTTACAGTTTCATTAAAAGTATCCAAGTGTTGGTTGTCAATGTATGCTCAAGGGTGAGCTGTGAATATTTTTATACACATATCAATTAAAGAGCCAGCCAATCTTTCTATGACTTGGTTCTGGGAACTAAAGTATCCAGTGACACTCCAAAAAAAAACTATGATCGATCTGTTCATGAGAAGAAACAAAATCTCTCCCATTTTCAATTACAATACATTTTGTTTGCTCTGAAACAAAAAACAGATCAACATGTGGCCTTCTTTGGAGAGGACCATTGTTGTTATAGCAACCATGTACTTCTGGGCAGCTGCAACCCCAGCCCCAAGGGAAAACAAGTTGAATTCTCCTCACACTAGCGGTCCTGGAAATTCCACCCCAGCCCTAAGTTAAACAGCCCTTGCAAGGATGTCACTGTGAATCAGAGGAAGCCATAAACAATAGGAGCTAAGAGCCACAGTTGGTTGGAGATATCAACCCTTCTTTCCCCAAATGTAGCCTGTTGTCAATCTCCCAACAAATTAAGGTTCAATGTAATAAATACATTAATTATATTCTAAAGATCTGGAATTTGCCTAGTTATAAGGAGCTCGGGATATACTGAACCTGGAACTTTCAAAAAGGTGATCTCATATTCTTAGAATGGTGAGATTACACTACAGCTTGAATAATGGACTGTAGTCATAAGGTCTAGATTTAACTGGTGATTTAAAAATTATACTGCAATGATTTACAGGATACATTACTACTCTGATACTGTAAAAACTAATGTTTTCTTTTAAAAAAAAACATTAACCTTAGACTATAAGCTGTTCCCTTTTAAAATGTTTTAATACAATTTCTTTCCTTTTCAATTGTCCCCCTAATATTTTTCTTTTCTTCTTTAAATTAATTAAATTAAATTTATTGCTTTCTTTTTCACCATTATTACTGGAATTGGTTCAAAATTAAAAAAAAAAGTTTAAAAAACCCATATTTTAAGTTGTGAGCATTTTAAGTGTTCCTTTTTTGATACACAAAGATTCATCCCAGAGGAAGCACAAGCTTTGTTTTAGACCAGGCTGATTCACTACTGATCACTGATTTTATTGATTTCAAGGCAGCTATTCATTCAGTATCACAATTTACTACGGCCCAAGTTGAGTAACTCAATGATTGATAAACTCTTGCTCATATAGTAGCTAAACTGCATGACAGATCATTCCTACAGGGGAGATACTATCAAGTAGATCTCCTTTCCTTTAGACATATCCCACTGGACTGCATAGTACCCTCAACTCTGTTCCACATCTATTAATTATTTAATCCACCAATTAAAAACCATGCACATCCATGGCTCTAAATTGCCCAACAAGCATTTCCCACTTATTCTATCTGGAGATAATATCATTATTCTATCTCTGACATGGCAGGCTCTAAAGAACCATTAGTAATCTGATTCAACAGTGCCAAGATGAACAACTGATAATTTGTTATTAAAAAAAAACTCAGAACACCTAAAAGACAACATTATTGTATGAACATTTGAGCTCGTGAACACCTTCAAATAAACCCTTTGTGGTTGTATTTAGACCCTTTGTGGTTGCATCTCATATCGTGACCACACTGCTAATTAAAGGTACTAGGAAAATCAAATTTAGAACACCTATCGAGAAATGTGGATGAACATCAAATTCAGCTTGTTATGTATGCCTAAAGACCGGCATCCAAAAAATATACTATAATGGATATCTCTTGGAGGAAAGAGAAAACAAGGCTGGCCTCAGAAAATTTGGCATCAAACACTTAAGGAAGTTCTTAAGATTATTAATGTCCCTTAGGGGACGATGCCAAAGATGCTGCGAACAGTCAAAATTGCTGGAAAACACCTGCTGCTCAATGTGCTCTGCTCAAGACCTAATCATGAGGATGACAGTTGTATTTAAAAACTCTTTCAGGCAAAGACAACTTCTATTAGAGGTAACCCTCATATACAGTAGTAACTGATGATGTTACCTAGTTTGGTAATGAAATGTCTTCAGGAAAATAAATAATAATCAGGGGCTCCTGATTTCAACCCTGAGCTACGAATATCCTCCTTTATTAGTAGTAATTTCACTTGAGACTCTATAGCCTAGCCTTAGGGCACACACTTAGTGGCCAAACAACCAATCAACCAAGTTAAGACCTTTGAATATCTACGTACAGAAAACAACTGTAGTTCTACAATCTTTCTATCTACTTCTTTAATGGAGTTCAGAATGTACCCATAATGCTTAAAGTCTTCTCAACAAGAAACTTTCCTTTGGAGACCAGTTGGGGCCTTACAGGTCATTTCTTTCCCTTGAAAGAGTTCAGTCTAACTATTTGAGATCTATCTTCCCAGTATCCTGCTGCATTCCAAATGTTGTACATTGCCATGAAGTTGGCCTACCCAAAATAGAAACTTCCACTTGGATTCACATCCTTTCATGTTGACCTAAGCTTCTTTTTTTATCAGCTGATTTGGCCCCTTTAATTATGACTGACAACTTCCAATCTCTCTGGTGTAGGAAAATATATGAAAATTTCAAATCTCATAGTTTCTCAGGGCCAGTCATTACCCTGCTGGGCTATGAATCTGTGATAGCTGATCTTAAACAACATGCCATAGATAGACTCAAAGCCACAATCAGTCTTACCTAGAAACATTTTTCTGAGACACTGCACATTTACTTCCCCCAGCCAGATATCACAGTTGCATAATGACCCCCAAATTCAGAAAAAAAAAATTGTCCTTGGCTGGATTCAATGCTCTCACAATAAATCCTGGGGGAAAAAATGAAATCCTGAAACATCCCTTTTGAATGGAGATTGTGCCCTTGCAATGGAGAAGCATATTGTATTGCTTCTTCTATCATGACATTCACCAAGAATTACTGTCCAAAAGGAATTATTTCAAGAGGCAACTGGAATTTATTTGTTTTTCCTTGAAGACACTTTGCTTCTGATCCAAGAATCTTCTTGGATGAGAAGAGAGATGTCTTCAAGGAAAAATAAAGAAAGTCCAGTTGCTTCTTGAAAAAGCATCTTTGGGATAACCATGACTGAGAATCTCCATTAGTGCAAAATACTATTTTCACTCATCCCCAAATATTCTGGTTGCTCTGATTCCTTCCATCTCAAGTTGCTGGTTACTATCAAGCTAATCTGATTCTACTTCAATGATTACAGCTAAACATTGTTTCATAGTTTGTACAATTTGCCATCATTTCTTTTCAAGCTTCTCCTAGGTATTCTCTGTTTGGAAACATTTCAAATGCAGCTATTTAGTTTCTACTGTTTATTAATGTTTTATGTTCTTGCTGTCAATTGAATCTTATTTCTGTCTTAATTTAATTAGCTGCCAGAATTGTTTTAACAATATAAATAGTCCTATAATTGGACTCTTTTTAAAAAAATAAATTTTATTGATTTTACAATTAAAACAAACCAACAACACATACATAAATGAGAGAGAGAAAAAGAAGAAAGGGAGAAGAAAATAGAAAGAAAAAAATAGAAAACAATTAAAAACATTCTCATCTTCAACAGTTTGTAAGACCTCTTTTTTATCCTTATTTTATGCCATATACACACACCTAATCCTTACATATATCTGTGTATCACTACTATGGATTTATCCTATCCTCTTTTGCCTTTTAGTGTGAAGTCTATCTTTGGTCTATCCATTTGTACCAGCAGTTCCAGCTGTTGTAGTATATTGAAGTATCTTTATTTTTTAATGCCAAAGTTAATTTGTCCATTTCTGCACAACTTGAAATTTTTTGAATGATCATCTCCTCTGATGGAA